AAGTAGGATTTGACGACGTGAACAAACGGCACAATGTCATGGAATTGCCAACGTACCTTCACATACACCGCTGTCAACGCTTCCCTATGCACACCGCCGTCTCGACTTCTTGTCACAGTCATCCTCTCGTAAGCATACCTTCACCCTCTTTACGAGTCCTCTGAGTTTACGAAGAGACTCGTTTATTACCTGGGATCTCAAGACTTTTTTCAGCGCGGTAACACTGAAATTTGACTTTCTCCCATGAAAATGATTTCTTCCCACAGTTGAATGCCTCATCCTCCTCATTGTATTTTCTAGTCAAATCTACCAAATCCTTGCTTAACACTTGCTTTTAGCACCCTAAGCATATGAATAGTGATGCCTCTGCTCTCTCTTTACTCAAATTATTTGCTAGCCCTGTTCTTGCAAGCTTCCTCAACATTTCCACAGTATTATCAACCCCATTCAATTATATTTCTTTATATTCAATGTATAATAATCAACCAAGGCCTCAACCTTTTCATAAACAGTTTTGTTGATCATATTCAGGGAGTTTGGGAGTATCCGAACAAGCCCACATGCATGCCAAACAGATGAGATTAAGGTGCTGAGCAATTGTGAGCATAAATTCAAAAAGGCAAATATACAATTTGACTTACCTCCATGAGGCCTCAACCATTTCACAGACAGTTTGGTGGACCGTTTTCAGGGAGTCTGGGGGTATCCAAACGAGCCCATGTGCATGCCAAATGGACCAGATTAAGGTACTGGAGCTTGTGAGCATATGTGCAAAAAAGCGAATATACAAAGTGACCTACCTCCACAAGGCCTTAACCATTTTGAAAGCGGTTTTGTGGACCATTTTCATGGAGTTTGGGGGTATCCGAACGAGCCCACGCGCACGCCAAACGGACCAGAATGAGGCACTGAGAGCTTGTGAGGATATGTGCAAAAAAGCGAATATACAAAGTGACCTACCTCCACGAGGCCTCAACCATTTCACAAACGGTTTGGTGGTCCGTTTTCAGGGAGTTTGGGGCTATCCGAACGAGCCCACGCACACGCCAAACGGTCCAGATTAAGGTACTGAGAGCTTGTGAGCATAAGTGCAAAAAAGCGAATATACAAAGTGACTTACCTCCACAAGGCCTTAACCGTTTTGAAAGCAGTTTTCTGGACTGTTTTCAGGGAGTATGGGGGTATCTGAACGAGCCCACGCGCACGCCAAACGGACCAGAATGAGGTACTGGAGCTTGTGAGCATATCTGCAAAAAAGCGAATATACAAAGTGACTTACCTCCACAAGGCCTTAACCATTTTGAAAGTAGTTTTATGGACCGTTTTTAAGGAGTATGGGGGTATCCGAACGAGCCCACGCCCACGCCAAACGGACCAGAAT